TGATAATCGAGCTCCACATTGTTTCCAATCCAGTATTTCATGAGAGAACTAAACATATAGAAGTTGACTGTCATTTTGTTAGAGAGAAGTTGCTATCTAAGGAAATTGTCATTGAATTTGTCACATCTAATGAACAACTTGCAGATGTTATGACTAAGTCATTGAGGGGGCCTCGCATTCAGTTTTTATGTTCCAAGCTTGGTGCATACAACCTATATGCTCCAGCTTGAGGGGGAGTGTTAGAATAGCTTAATAGAGAAGCCTTGTGTATTTATTAATATTTCTTTTGTATGTCTGATGTGATGTCTTAGACTCCTAGGCCTTTCCAATCTATGTACTCAATCTGCTATATTGATATATAGAGAAAAGGAAAGCAAAGTGTGTCATACACATTATTTTTCTCAGATCTTAACATTCAAGTTCCTATAACCTGTCTGAAATTTGTATCTCATGAAGATCGCGATGATGATCGCATCTTGAAGGAGTATCTTGTTTGGGAGCAACGGGAGCAACTTTTCTTATCCTGGTACAATTGTCAATGTCACGCGAAATGCTATTATGTGTAGTCAGTTGCAAATCTGCTTGGCAACGGTGTGATAAAATCCACACATTCTTTCACTTGCATACAAATGCGAAGGTGTGATAATTTCAAGCAGAGATTCGAAGTGCTACGTTGGAGAATCACATTGTTTCGAAGTATCTTCTTCACATTCAATCGCTCATCAATGCTCTCATAGCTATTAGAGATATTGTTTCCTCTCTCAAACACATTGATGTTATTATTGAAAGACTTCTAGAAGATTATGAACCTTCAATCTCTCTTGTCAGTAGTGAGGTTGATGCTCTGATGATTGACGAAGTTGAAACGTTTCTCCTTGTGCATGAAGCACAAATTGAAAAGTTCAAGAAGTTTGTCATTTCATTGAATGTTGTTGAAATTTCTCAATCTTCATAGCCAAAGGCAAATGTTGCTCAAGTGACTTTGACAGACACTTCTCAACACATTTACACTAATTCAAATCGTGGCTACAATACTCGAGGAGGCAAGTCTATTCGTTGTGGTCGCTATTGTGGTGGTGGAGGTGGACGAGGCCGATATTCAAGAGTTCAATGCAAAGTATGTCATAAATATGGTCATGATGCCTCTATATGCTATCATAGATATGAAGAAAATTATGTTTCGCAATCTGCCTTTGATTCTTCGAAGCCCCCTTACATGCCTTCACAATGGTTTGCACTGCCATGGAACACCTATTAGTACCAACAGTCACCTTCACCTATGTTTTGGCCTCATATTCAGTATGTTCGACCTAATATTGCAGCTACACAGACATGTTTAGGTGTTCAACGACTTGTTTTCAAACATTGTAACTTACTTATGATAAATAAAAATGATGTTTAGTTTTGTTCTTGTTGCTTGGGTAAATCTCACAAAATTCCTTCTAAAATGTCACAAACCAACTACAATAAACCTCTAGAATTTATATACACTGACCTATGGCACCAGCTCCCTTTGTTTCTCATGGAGGTTTTTCCGATTATGTCTCATTTGTTGATGCTTGTACTCAATTCACATGGATGTATTTTCTAAAACAAAAATTTAGGACTTTAAATACATTCAAACAATTTCAATTACTTGTTGAGAAACAGTTTCAAACACCTATTAAAGCTATTCAGCTTGACTGGGAAGGTGAATTTTGATCTTTTACCACTTATCTCTCTCAAACTAGTATTAATCATAGGTTGATTTTCCCTCATACTCATCACCAAAATGGTGTAGTTGAATGCAAACATGGATGCATAGTGGACCTCGGGCTAACTCTTCTTGCTCAAGCTTCATTACCTCTTAATTTTTGGGATCATGCATTTGCTACTAGCGTCTATCTAATTAACAAACTCCCTACATCCTCTCTCGAGTTTGATATACCTTATCACAAGTTGTTTGGTCAATTTCCAGATTACAACTTTCTAAAAATATTTGGTTGTTTGTTTTCCTCTTCTTCGACCCTAAAACAAACACAAGATACAATTTAGATCTTAGGAATGTATTTTCCTAGGCTACTATACATCCCACAAAGGTTAAAAGTGTTTACCCTCATATGGAAAAAAAAATTATATCAAAGGATGTCATATTCATTGAATAGAGGTTTCCTTACTTAAGCATTTCCTGTTCTTCACGATCAGAAACAAGTCCATCTGTCTCTTCTCCCGTTATCATCACCAAACACTCTTCACCCACTATAACTACCTCTCAAAATAATCATACCATCAATTTTGGTCACATCAGTCAATCCTCATCTATATCTCTTTCACCAAACACTATATCATCTAATCCTACCATGTTGCCATCGTCTTCTCATCAAGCTCAACCACCTAATGTTCACCATTTGCAAACACACTCCAAGTTTGGAATTGTTTGTTCCAAACTTCAACCCATCCTTCCTACTCATGTTGAGCCTAGCTCAACTACGCAAGCTTTTGTCGATCATGTTTGGCACCAAGTGATGCAAGTTGAATTTGATGCCTTGATCAAAAATAATACCTAACTTCATGGTTGTCAAAATCGAGTTTACGAGTTTGGGAAGCCCAACCTATTCAACTCGTATGCAAACTCGTTTTCTAGTAAACTTGTGCAAACTCGAGCAAAATCGCACAAACTCAACCAAAATCGTGAGTTTGCTGTGATTTTGCATGTCTATGCGGATCACTTAGAAAATCCCCAAAACAACATGGAGAGTTCATTTTTCTTTAGGTTTCCTTTTATTCTCATGTTTTGCACATTTCTCTAAGTCTCAACCATAGTTTTAAAATCCAGCTCAAACCGACCAATTGAACCAGTTCGATCGGGACTCGAGTAGTTAATCGATTCAAGTTGTAATCTTGGTCGATTATGCATGTAACTCAATAATGACATCATTAAACCAGTCAAAACTCATTCAAAATTAGTTCAATCGGACCATTTTTTATTTGAGACGGGCACTGAGATGTGTGCACACATACTTGTGTAACTTGCTTTGTGATGTGTGATGAGAGACCAATGGCTTCATAATGTGCTATAAGTGATGCAATGTTGCATAGTGATTGTTGCATTTTCTGCTTGCTTCGTGATGCGTGTGGCCCTTTAATTATATTTTGAAGTAAAAATATCAAAATATAAAAAATATAAAAAATAAAAAAATAAAAATAAATAAATAAATTGTATGACGACCGAATGGATACTAAATGCACATAAAACCATTGCAACAAATCAAACTACAAGTTTATTCTTGATAAATATTGTATATACAATTCTCATCTTTTTTAAGTTCAATACGGTTTACCTTTTACCTATAGCTCAACACCAAAACACCACCTATATATTAAAGATTTATTCATATTCTGAATTTCAATACTGTTTACCTTTTACCTGTAGCTCAACACCACCTTTATATTAAAGATTTACTCATTCATATTCTGAATCTTACAAAAACTCAATAAAAACAAAAGGAATTAAGCTTAAGATGAGATTTGAAGTCCTATATTTTGCATGTTTGACTACTTAACAAATTTTTGAATATATAATTGATCTTAAATTATTTTTATAGTATATCTTTATATTTAAATTATGATATAATTATATTATATATAAAATGTGTTTGTAATTTTTTTTTTTTTAGTTTTTAAAGTATTATGTGAATTTTATTGGAATTTATATGTATAAAATATCTATGGAATGAATATTTTTTCAATAAAATTAATAGAAACCGGGTCATGCAGTTCAATTAATCACCCACTGATTCAACCTTTGACCCACTGACTCAATGCCTTGATTGGTTTGATGACTGGTCTGATTTTTAAAACACTGATCTCAACTGCCGAACAACATGGAGAGCCGAACACTAGGATTATCAACATCTCCATGTCGGGGCTTGCTCACTTGTTCGTCGATCGGGGTCGCATTCTTTGTGGCTTGCTCATCATCGGTTGGCATTTTGCTCTAATGGTTCGAACGTTTCTCTCGATCTCAACTGCTAAACAACACAGAGTGTCGCGCACTGGGATCATCGACGTTACCAAGTCGAGGCTTGCTCACTTGTTCTACGATCGAGGTTGCGTTCTTTGTGGTTGGCTCATTGATGGTAGACACTTTGTTCTCTGGTTGGCATCCCCTGTTTCAAAGTCATTCTCATCATGCCTTGGTGTTTCCAAAGTTCTCATTAAGGTTCTTTCCCATTTCCCTACTATGAAGGTTCTTCGAAGAAATTAGTCTATTTTAGTTTTTTATTTGTTGTCATTTTAAATTGTCTTGTGTGAAATTATGCATGATTTGCTACTAACTTTGCTACTTTATTATTGTAATTTACTATTTTACTTTAATATGGAGTTGAAATGTTGAATTAGTATGTTATTTATAAGTATTTTAATATATTTTTTATATTAAGTAAACTCTTACGAGTTTATGATTTGAGTTTATGAGGCCTCATTGAATTTACATAAACTCTTGATTTTGACAACCTTGCTTTTTAGTTCTCCACATTCTACTAAATTGTGTCACCTCTGCTTCTTTTCTATTAATTCAATGATATTCATTGATCTTTACTTCATTGTATTCGTTGCCCTTTGCAGTGTGCTCTTCATAGTTTTTAGTTCATGGAGTGTAACTTTTGGTAATTTTTTTATTTTTAAACAATTATGCATTATAGTACAAATTATTTATTGTTATATAATCTTGGTATTTAGCATCCATCACACTATAGCTTTTTTGGAATTGATTGCTCTACACCACTACCCGGGACTGTTAATTGCTAATTATGATAATAAATTTCATATACAATATATCAAGGGAAAGGGCTTCTATATTCTATGAGTCGAATTGTCACAACAATAACAAGATGTTGCTAAACAGATCATATAACGTAAACAACCCGAAAAGAACCCAAACAAGTAAAATGACTAGTTTGTACAATCAGAGCATACGATATAATTACTGGAGCCAAAGTAATCACAGAAGTGTGTAATACCAGTATGAGTGAGCCTACAGCTTGCCTGGCTGCATCAGTTGATTTTCCACCAGATACCTTCTTAAGGGATTTCTTGAAATCCCTATACCTGATATTTTCAATATTTAATAAATGTAAGAACTAAGAAAATGACATATATAATTAAATGGAGACTAAAAATAAAAGATGAAAATGTACTGAATACTAGCACATTCATACTTGTGCAAAAATTCAAGACCTCCGGCAGGGTTAGATTCGGAGCCCAATAGTTCAATCATGCCTTCCCATTTCTGTAAAAGAATGGATGAAGTTAGAAATCTAAATAATTATCAACAAAGAAATTTTCATAAACAGGAATAAACTAATATATATGAAAAATCTCAGTGTGTTGCTTATTGGAGTATTACAGGAACTACCTTGAAGCTTTCATCAGATATTGACTTTCCAACTGAATCAAATAACTGTTGGGCAATCCTATCTAGACAACTTCTGTCTTGGGCTTGTTGAAGCCAGAATACTCCGGCACCCTTATGGCCATGCTTCCAGTGGTATACTCCAGCAATCTATATATTTCTTCTGCAGGTCAGTTCTAGTATACTATAGTATGAAAGAACAGTATAATATTTTCTAATCCCCAATCCAGGTACACAATCAAAAGGTGTAGGTTACCTTCATGATATTTGAACTGATATGATCAAGCTCATACAAACGGCATATCTCAATATTCTGCATGAGTAACAATTATTTGCCTGTCACTGGCAAGCATATCAAAAACATACTAACCCACGAGGAAATGACTTGTTAAACAGATAATAACAAACAGTACGCAAAAACAGTTACCTTAAGCAACACATCATTATGTTGAACAGATTGCCTGTACAATAAATTCTCTAACAATCCCATTCCTTGCTTCATGCATGATGTTAAATATATTGGAGCTATCTGCAGATGTGTGAACATTAGACCATAGGAGCACCAAACAAATTATTGTCCTGTTAATCAAACTGTAATCTCATAAATTAACTTTCATTTGGCATTGGCTGTTTTGATCTCTTGGTAAGGCTAAATTCTGTATACGAGACATCAATTTCATCCTTACTCTTGGTCTTTCAACCATATGTCAAAATCAAAGGCATCAAATAGAAATTTCTGATGTGCCTTAATCAAACATTATTCACCAGTTTGACATCAGATTAACAGGATATTTTTGCTTAAGTAACTAGCACTCACTTGCCAGGTCAATGCATGTGATGACAGAATTTGAGCATATGCAAGCCGATGTAGCTCCACTATGCTGATTCCCCCCAAGTTATAACGATCCTCATGCAGAAGAATCTCTGATTGCTCACTCCCGGTAGTCAACAATTCAATGGCATGTGCCACCAACCTAGTTTATTGATACATGGCACATACATAGCCCCATTATAATCAAAACTACACTAAATTAAAAATCAGTGCTCAATTGGTTTTGAGAATTTTGATTGTAAGCTTATTTTGAATCAGTTAACAATAGAAGAGAAAGCAGCTCTCACCAAGGGCCAAATTCTCTGGAACACTCTGCTAAAACAACCTGAGACATTGCACAATGCTCATCCAAGTTTAAATGTGAAGGGAAAAATTGAATCAAATAACAGAATAACGAAAGAAAAAAAAAAAGCAGCAGGCCAAATCTTTGACAGTAATAGTCCAATAATCACCTCAGTATTTTCTTCAAGAATTCCAATCATAAGTCCTGTCAACCTATGTATACTAGATTGTGGTTTCAACTGGATGCATTTCTCGGCCAAATTATACATGCTTTCTATTCCCTGTATGCATAAGGAAAAGGGGAGGGGGTACAGTATCATGTTGAGATCCACTTAACAAATATACAAGCATTATATATGCCAACAATATATGAAAAAAAGTTAAAATTAATAATTTCATATGCAGATTGAACATACCATTGTAAATGGCCTGATGTATAGAAAATGAGAAATATATAACTCAATCCAATAACATGTAGCCAAGCAGAGACTCTCGATGTTACCCAGCATAATCTGTAGCAAGTTTCTCAAGCCCTCATGAGTTTGTTGATTATCACACTGAATCCAGAATGGACTGTGATCCAGTTTTGTGATTTGTGACCTCCATTTTTCCCAGGCCTATAAAAATAGCAATAATACACAACAGTATAATAAATGACCCAAAAAGCAAATGTAATAGTACACCTTAAAATACAGTGGAATCTGGAAATACCTTGATAAAGTCAGGCTTGGATTTATAGCAATCACCTAATTTTCCATCAGATTCAGGACGCAAGCGGGGCATTTTGGAAATAAGAACAGCAACAGCCTCCACAAGCCCATTTTCTAACTACAAAATTTGGAAGCAGCAACAGAAATAGCTTTGGATTTCACAATCAATGAAGCAGAGCAAAATGACAAACACAAAGAGCTCGAATGTTTATGCGTCTTTGCTAAAAATCACAAGAATTAAGTAACATCACAAAACACTGCATATCCTCATGTTAAAATAACATGGAATAGAAGTGGATACAGGCTAGGGTTTGCTTAATTAGATCTGGGCCATCTTGCCTAAAAGTCTATCTAAAGGCCTTCAATTAGGTCAAAAACCTTTTATTGTCAAGTATTTCACACACAACCTTAAACAAAATATATCTCCATTACCATTCCTTTTATGTGAGGATGTGAGTCTTAACAATCTGAAAATATTTATCCATGTTTCCCACTTGAAATATAAACCCAGCAAGTTATTTTTGTATTTATTTTTCAATTAAAAAGCATGTCTAGTTAAATATTGACATCTATTTATGCTACTAATGGCCTCATAAAAACATAGTTCAAAGAATTTCAATATATAGTTAATAAATTTCATATTATAAACTAATTATTACATATGAATAATAAATAAAAAGGTAAGCCAGGTAAAATAAATAGGACCTTTTAAAGGCATATGCCTAGCTTACAAGTTTGATAGGACTTACTAGGAGCTTAGACTTAACTTGTTTCTTGCCAAATAGATAGACATACAGGATGTATCAAAGGTCGGCTAATACAAATGAAGCATCTAGGGTATTAATATTTTAACAAATATATTTTGTTCGGCTATATTATAATCAGACAAAATATTCCATTTTAATGCTTGCATATAAGAATCTGTAGTGGTTAAAAAAGAGAACCGCCAAGATTTAATGTGACAAAATAAAGGTAGGAGTGCTAAAGGATCAAACTGCTAAAGAGATTTGAATCTGTTAGAATATTCTGGGTATGAGGCGAATGATAAAAATCAGATTTTTACCAGGAAAGTGAATAACAAACTACAAAATTACCAAAACTAAATTGTGCAAATTCATCTCTTTCATATAATATAATTTTCATAATTTTCATGCCAACCTCCCGATTACTGAGCTGATCTAATTGGTAAGATCCGTGCAACCGCAGCATTCTCACCTGTAAGGGAAATTCAGCTTAATATAAAAGTCTTTATTAACAAGGAAACATCAGATGCTGCAGAAAAATATCAGAAATACAGCCGCCTTTACTAACCACAACATCAAGCCAACCAACTGACAGTGCAGATGACAACAAGTCCCAATACCTGGGATCATCCTCAATCACCTGCACAGACAGATTTCATAATTTTATTTCCTCATCATTGAAGAAATTGATCAATCATAATTCATAACAATTATAGACATTAATTAAACAAAAACATGATAAATGAAGTGATAGATGATATAACGAATAATAAATAATGATCCACCATTTGTTGATTAGCACTCCTTTGGAATACAAAGACTAGGTAAATAGCTTAATATGCATTCAAAGCAAAACATCAGCTAATACATCAAAATTAACAACTAGTTGCCGGAGCCAAATATAATAGAAATAACTTCTTATAACCCTAGTTATCTGCATCACAAGAATCATACAATTTTACCAAGCCTTTGATACAAATTGCAACATATAAATTTTAACCTGGAATCACACTCAATCACTAGAATTGCAAATGTGTGGTTAATCATTTGATTCATGCACAACCTGGCTCTAGAAACATGATTTTAGGGTTACTTTCGCATAATTAATTTCTTCTTTTGAGATTGAGGGAAAGTGACAAATTCTTTTCCGATGTTGGAAACTCAAATACAAAAGAGCATAGTTGTCATTTAGGTTTCATTTGTTTTTCTTTTGCTTGTTTTTCATCTGGGTCGAAAACAGCATGTCATTCAAAAACCAAAAGCAAAGTCTAACTTGCATAACATAGTGTGTGGTTGGAAGGGAATGGAATAGAACAGAGGGTTTTTTATAAACATTTTTTATTTGGTTCAATTTTTAGGAGAAGGAAAGGGAATGGAGGAGAACAAAAACCCCTCCTCGTCTAATTTTAACTCCACTCCAATATTGAGAGGATTTGGAGGGGAGGGCAGCAATTTTAAACATTTTTAGTATAATGTCTAAATTATCCTTAATTGCGTTTTTAAATCCAGAATTATAAGGATATACAAAGGTAAATTGGTTTTTAAATCCTCCCCCTCCCTTCGTGAACCAAACAAGAAAAGAATTACATTTCCTTTGCTCCATTAAAATCCCTCCCCTCCTCTCAACCAAACACGATATTTAATTCCACCCCTCCCCCTCATTAAAATCCCACTCATCTTGTTTGAACTAAACAGACCCTAAGAGACCAATAAAGCCAAAACCTAAACAGTAGCAGGCACTACACAAACTGAAAGAAACACACTAAAGCTCTGGTATGCACAGTTGAATGAGGACAAACTCTACAATGGATCAGGATGTTAAGAACACATTAGTATACTTTGACAAAAAATTGATATGATGAGCATCAGAGCAAGATGTTTAAAGGTCATTAATTTAAAAGGAATTAAATAATTATGATTACACTAACTTTAAAAAAAAAAAAAAACAACAACTACATTACATATGTTGGCATTTCTTTTATTTTTTTAAAGAGTTATACTGCATAATTTGACTTTTTGTTATTGTGATTGATGAGTTAAATATTGGTCTACTTTGAAATTTATATTTTAACTTGTTAGCCAAACATTGAGTTATTTCATTTTAAATTGCCAATATATAGATGCTTCAATGCTTATATATGTTAAAATACTTTGTATATTATTTTTAATTATTTATCATGAATCTTACAATTCAAGATATAGTTTGATTCAAGATTTCAAAAATAAGCCTTATAATTCACAATTTGAATCCTGATTTCATAACCATACTTAAAATTTATAAAAGTGCAAAACAAAAGGGAAAATTCTTGACATGCCAAATATATTTGTTAATGAGAATTTGAAACAGATTAGTCTCTACAGAGTTCAGAAAACATCATTATATTTATAATCTCTAACCATTGTCATGAAACTAAAAAAAAAAAAAAAAAACAGGTATATCTTTACTTCATTACTAATAATAATAATAAGACAGACACACTGATGCAGCACAGGAATATAGCATACATTTTAAGTTTGAAAGAGAGGTAAAATAAGAAAACATGATGGATAATGTATGCAAGGAGTTCACCTCCTTCATATCAAAATTGAAAATTCTAACCATGAACTAGAAACAAAACAGAAGATATTGTCTGAATTACTTGACTAAAATTTACTTTGCATGCTTTACAGTTTACACCAAGTAGAACACATGCCTAAACTTATAAGTTATACCAAAGGAGCTACTCGTCAACAGAAATGTCCACAAAAATTATGTTCTAAACAAGTATTCCAAAGAATGGCATAGATTGCATATTTCCATAAAAGTATGGTTTTTCTCCGCCTCTCAAAACCAGTATAGTTTGTCAACAGAAAACCTAGGGCAAACTCAACATTCAACAAAAATGTCAAACAAAGGATTCCATAAAGAAACAGCTACAAAATAACATAACAAAAAATGGAGAATCAATTCTGTGCTTGCACCACTCATAACACAGACACATCAAGGTAACAATAGCCCTTAACTCATCATTGTCACAAAGAACAAATGCAGAATCAATTATGTGCTCTGCAATGCTTTTGGTATTTATTCTATGATTCTATCAATCATGCTGTCCAAATAAAGGATTAGCTCAACCTTAGAGAGAACTTTGTACTTCCAAATAGGTTCATCAAAGTTGAATGGAACACCTACTAAACAAATGGGTTCCATAGGTAAAACTTACACAAAAACAAACCAGAAGGATCAAAAGATCAAATCCTTCTATCTAGGATAAAGAATGAAAGGACAGAATTGATCCAAGAGAGTATCCAACTCAGAGGACTCTATAATTGAAGTTATAAAAAAGTAGAAATTCCAAGAAAAGTACTGTTTAAACACTGTAAATTGTGAATGTCAGAATTGTGTAACAATTAACAAAGATAGGCAATGAAGTCATAGATAATACAAATAATAAGAGGAATCTCCTACCAATGGTGAGAACCATTATATAGCATCAAGTAAAGCAAAGACTTCAGCAGAACCTTAGTCTTGAGAAATAAATTTCCACACAAAAAGCCTGGGCTGTATTAGCATTAGCACCCTACACATTCTAGTCCAAATCCATATTTAAACTGGATAACCAAATGCAATACAGAATGAGGTTCTAAAGGAAAACAAGCTAGTCATTTACCCATTCCAAGACTACTGAATTAAGACTTAAATATTCCAAATATTTTGAATTCTTCAAAGACAAATAAAAGGAGTTTATTATTATTCATTGGATAAGTTATGGCCAGACCTGTATGTTGCCCAGCTCTTTCTGAAAATCCACAAGCTTTCCATGAATTGTTTCATGTGTACTAGTAAAGAGGCTGTCATAATCCTGTCACAAAATGCACCATAAACTAAAATAACCATGTGATCAGATTTAAAATAAAATGCAACCATTTACAACACCCATCAAGGAAATAAAATAGATTATTACAGCTAACCAATCAACAAGCCTTTCAGGTAGCCATGCTTGAGATTGCTTGTCCACATAAAATATTTCAATTAACTCCCACGCAGCTTGCAAACAAGTTGGCATCTCATCTGTCTACAATAAGTGTTAAAAAGCAAGTGATTAACTTATCAGATCTCAGATAAAATACACAGAGGAGGACAGGAAAACAATTTAGAATCTAAAACAGTACCTTAACAAGTATGTTTGGGCCCTCAATTATAGGACTATTGGTCAACTTTGACCCCCCAAGAAGTGTACCTATCTCCTTGCTATACTGAAGCACATGCTCCCACCTGACAGTAAAACATGATAAAGTCTCAACAAGCACGCTTACATGAAATTGCACAAGCAAAAACACTTAATTCAAAACAATAAAATTAGTCAATAACTTCCGATGCCACCCTATTTGAAAGTGAAATCATTTGCAGGAGACACCTGGCATGCTAGATCAACCCTATGTAGACAAATTAAAATTAAAATTAGATTTGAGAACATCATTATTAAATTCTGATACAGCATCCGCTTACATAGAAACAATGAAATATCTTCAATTAAATGCAAAAATTCAATGAAACCACATGCCTTCAATTTTCAAATCTTTACAATAACTAAATCAAACAACCAGGTGTCTAAAAACACTACATCAACACAGTTGTTCCTTTGAATAAAAAAGACCAAAGCATCTTCCCAGAGATTTTCAATACACAAAATTTAAGGGCTCTCAACTTATCTCTATCTTTTTTTCCTTCAAATTCACCAGAAAAATTAATAAAAAATAATGGTGACTTAAAATTCAATCATAAACAAAAGCACTAAAACCTTTCATGTTTCGATACAAGCTAGAACTGTTTTAGAGCTTCTCCACCGGTAAAAAAAATTGAATCATAAACATAAGCACCAAAACTTTAACAAGTCTAGATACAAGCTAGAAGAGTTTCCAGAGCTTCTCTAACGAAAAAAGCTCTTTATTTTCAATTCTCAAAAGCTCTCATAAGTTTGATCCAAACAAACTCATTGTCTTGAATTACCAATCTGAATGATACGGAGATGGAGTCTTCAAGAGCGAAGAAATAGAGCTCCGTTGGCTTTGAAGGAGCGCGAAGGGCGCAACGGAGCCATATGCAATTCGGCGCCAGTGAGCATCGGGGATCTCGGAATCTTCAGAATTGACCTTAACTTCGACGACCTTGGCGGCTGCTCCGGCGAAGAGGGAGAGGCGGAGAGTGTTGCCACGCGACCAGGAGATGGAGAGGCGAGAAATAGGAAGGGGGAGGCCGTGGTGCAGAGGGTATACTGCCGCTGAGTCTCCGGTGAAGGGGACCAGACTGCCATTACCCACTGTGTCAGAAGCCATTTTCGTTGGGATACGCTGTTTAGGGTTTGGTGGGGTTTTAGGGGAAATGGAAAATAGAGTAAGTGCGCTCAGTTAAGTTAAGCTGACCCTAAATTTGGTTACGCGGGAAATGTTAAAATGACCAGAATTATTTTCATTTGTCTTTTTCATGTCAATGTGCTGACTGCTGTGTGCATTTTTTATTTTTTATTTAATTTTTTATATGTTAATAAAAATATGTATAAAATGACCACAATTATTTTCATTGGTCTTTTTCATATCAATGTTGTGCTGTGTGCATTTTTTGTTTTAGATGCACTTAACCAAGTCAACATCCCATTCGGGTTAAGTTTAAATTTTGGAGTTTTTTTTATTTATTTTAATTATTTGTTTAATTTTATATATAGTAATAAAAATATGTATAAATATTTAAAATATTATAAATAATTATGAATATTAATTTTTATTTGAATAATTTTATATATACATATATCTAAATTATTATATATATATATATAGTTGTGATCATGGATGTACTTATATGTATAAACATAATTTTAGTAATAAATAATATTTATATATTATATTTTGTGTTTTACTTATGAAAATTGAAATGACTAATGATTATTATATAAAAAATTGTGTATTTTAATTTGTACATTATGGTTAAAAATTAATAGATTGTAGATTTATTTTTATTGTTCAAAATTATAACTATAGTTTTTAATTTTATACAAATATATATATATATATATATATATATATTAATAAATATGTGTGTAATGTCTAGTCGTATAAATATTAAACTCAATATTATACGTTTATATAATATTTATAGATTGAAAACACAAGTATATTATTAATAATAGTATACATGATAACAAAGAAAGATTTTTTGAACTCATTTACATATAATTAGCTTATAATTACATTACATATTATTCTAAAAATATTTATAACTACGTGCGTAACTACTTACTTTTCACATATATATTACAATATTTACAGATTAGGTTGATACATATTTACAATGGGATTAACGTGATTGGTTGAAGGTAAATAAAAAGTAATTATTATAGAATTGTCGATTACGATGGAAATTTCTTGATTTAGAGAGAATGTGAAAGATGACACCACCACTCCATTGAAAGTGACCGCATTTGCTACAGCATCTACACTCCACGTAGTGCTGGAGAATACCGCATATATGACTGAAGGAAAAGGGCCTGGAATCGTCGGCAAATCCATCTATATTTTTTTTTCTAATATAAATTAATTACATATTTTAAACAAGAAACATAAGGAGTGAGAATAATTATCCAATAAATATCAACAATTATATAATATGCATAGAAAATATTTAATACTAATAAATATATATATTAATTCTTCTTGATATAAAAATTTGGATTATATTTGTAGTGACTAGTCAGGATAAATGAACATTATAATAACAAATAATTAAAGGTTATTTCACCTTAAGTTTTTACTCATTTAAATCCCCAGGGTAAACTTCTAACTACAAATTAATTCAATTTTTATTCTTATGGCCATAAAATAATATTTATCTTTATAAATGCATGAATAAATAACAACAAGACGAGTTTTTAAGATATTTTAACAAAACTATATTATAGTTGATATTAATATAAAAATAATTACACTAAGTAAGTTGAGTATTTTTTAATAATTTAAAATTTAATAAAATATAATTTACGTAAATGAAATATATTAAAGAGTACTAATCATGTAAATAACAGTAGTAATCATTATAAAATAATTAAACAACATAAACTAGGAACACCTTATTAATCATTAAGAGTAAAAAAATATCATAGATTAAGCAAGTGAGGTTAGGGACACCTCACTAAATAAATACACACAAAATATAACATAACTAAATAAATATAATAGCATATAAAATTTTAAAAGATAAAGGTTTCCTCCCCCTTACCTTAAGAAAATGATATATCTTTGAGATACTTCAAAAGTTGTATTTTTTTCTCTCTTTCTCTCTTTTATTTTCTCTCTTCCTTAATTCTCACTATTTTTCTCTCCGTAAGCTTTTATATTCTTCCTTCACCAAATTTCAATTGCATGTTCCTCTTCTATATCAAAGCTATTTATAGTATAAATTATAATAATTACTTAGTTAGCGTTTGATGGGGAATTTGTGTCATTTAGTTTGATTTTTAATCCCCATTACAACTTAGTTACTTAGGGATAAGGGTTATTAATTTTGAGATAAGAGGATAAGATAACAACAACAGTTTTTCTGCTGCAGATTTTCATTTTTTTTTTAAATTTAAAATTTTTTTAGTCCATTCATAATATATATATATATATATATATATATTAATATAATTACCTATATTAAACATTTGAAAATTTAACAATTATATATATAATAATATAAATATTATTTTTTAAAAATTAAAATTAGATAGCAAATATTTCTATTTTAATTTGCTGAAAATATAAAAAAAAATTATAAAGTATCAAAATAAAACATCTATCTTTATTTTATTTTAAATATGATAAAATAAAAATTTAAAATGATTATTTTAAGAATAAGATAATGATAAAAAAATCATAATATTATATCAAAGTTTCGAAATATTACAATGTGTATATGTGGAGAAAAGAATGACATTAGAATACAGTTAAATAGTGATGGAATCTATGTTGGAAAAGAGTTGCAGTTTCTCCTTCTTAAACTTCAAGTTCCTTAAGCATTCTCCATGGACCCAAATCAACAAAGAAAGTTTGAACATGGTGAGAAAGGAGGGGAATAGGCATGCTGCCACTCAAGTGAGAGAATGAGCAAGAAAGGTTGCACTTGCCACAAGGAAAGTTTTCTTAATGAAAGTGTTTAAGAATATAATTCTCTCAAGTGACTCAAGAGAGAATTAAGAGACATTTCTGAATATAAAGTCTTATAAATCTTTAGTAGTGACCCATACAATGTGCAATAAGCCATATATAAAGTTAGGAAGCTTATGGAGCAAGCTAAGCAACTAGGGTAGCTTAACCTTAGGTAATCTAGGCGCTAATTTGAATTCAAAATTCAAACTTGTTCGGTCCAAAACTTACTCCATGTGCACTCATATGATTATAAATCTAAGATGCACAATAGTCAATAAGAATAGGCCATGTGGCAAACAAGGAAGATGTGACTTAATTTGAATGTCATGTGAATAACATTTGAATTTGATTTGATCATGCACATGTGCACCACTCCATTTGTTGGCCACATGGTGGATCCAATCAATTCAAATGTTATTCCAAGGCTCTAATATAAGTTGCACCTCCTAGGCCCAAAATTATTCAAAGAGGAAAAATTACAATAAAGTCCCTACACTACTTAGCCCAAAATACAAGGCTCCTACAACTAAGTTATTTGGCCCAAAATACAAGGCTCAAACTAAAGAAAGTATATACAAGTATATGGGAGGAATTGGGCTAATATATTTAGTGGCTTATAGCCCAAGATGAGTTAAAGCTCACTAACATCTACATAGGGCCCAATCCTTTTAGGTCCTACTAGCCTAGCTCACTCATCTAAACTTCATTTGGATGACACCTTTAAGCATGATCTCATCAAATAGTGTCAATCAAAACTCAACAACGCTAAAAGCAATAAAAAAGTAACGTAAACCTTAAGGGATGCAAACGAAAAGATAAGCAAAGAATGCAAAGTGTTTTTATATTAGTTTTTCTCAATCACTAATATTATGATGGACTCCTTCCACCAAGGGGATGATCAAACGTTCAATGGTGAAGAGGAGCTCCTTTCCAAGGCCAAGATGGTGACCTTAGAGGGTGGACGTTCCTTCAAGGGTGAGGCTAAGTGATGGTGGGTGTGAAAGGTGGAGTCTTGGGCGAATAGGAGAAAGGTTGGGAGGATGGTGTTCTAGTTGGCTCTCTTCACTAAGTGGAGGTGAAGGCCATTCAAGGTATCCCTAAACTTACTCTAAGGAGGAGATAAGAGAGGTAGGCCGAATTGACCTAGTGACTAAGGAGAGGATTTGAGGCAAAAATGCTCACTCAAATTCATATATTCCAAAGTATTTACATGATGCATAGCCTAGGGTATTTATAGGAGTGGGAGGCATCTAGGGTTGCATTTGGAGAGTGCATGGACGAAATTCACAAGCCAAATGCACACCAAATGAAATGCAAATGAACCCTAGATGCAACTTGGTGGCCAAGGATGGAATCTTTGGGATTAGTTAGGCTACATCTAGGTGCATGATAAGACCATGCAACCTTTGCCCTCCACTTGGGCCTAAGCCTTTCTAACACCAAAAATAGGTCCAAGAGCCACAAAAAATATGTCTAGGTTTTGTTCCCACCCTAATCAAATACCTTAGCCCAAAAATAAAAACCTATGATCTAAAGCACCCCATAATACAAGGGTAAAATGGGAAATATAAAAGAAAATAAATCCTATGACTAAAATACCCCAAAATACAAGGGTAAAATTGGAAATACAAGTAAAATAGATCCTATGTCTAAGATACCCCAAAATACAAGGGTAAAAAAGGAAAATCAAAGACAAGGGCAAAATAGGCATAAAGATAAATTCTAGGCTATCAAAGCTTAGGAGAGTGATTAGTGTATTTTAATCTTGAGAAGCATGTCTTCTAAGGTTTTGACTTCCCTATCCTCTTCCACTCTCCTAGCCATTGGCTTAGTGATGGGTCTCACATGAAGCTCCATGGATGGTCCTCCATCATCCCCTCCTTCTTGAGAAGGATTTGACCACAAATCTTCAAGCTCAATCATTCCATTGGTACCTTCAAGAGATGTGAGACCACAATTAGGGAAAAAAACTACTTAAAACTTAGCTATGCAATCCTTAAGTACACAATTTGTTGAATGAAAGTACTAGGGGAAGGAGAGAGCCAAAGAGGCATCACCATTTTTGAAAAAGTTATTGACCCCATGTAATTCATTCACTAAATCATCTATCTTAGGGATTGGGTGCCTTTTATTCAATGATGGCTTTTTTTAAAAAAGGTGCTCATCCTCCATTGCCATCTTTCTTTGGCACCAAAAAGAATGAGGATGGCACAAGGGTTAAGGTTCTCTAGAACCTA